CAGAAGAAAGTGATCATTCAAGTCCATATGGAAGCCTTCAAAACTGGATCAAAGTTTTGATTCAGTAACTGGATCAAGAAACTTCAGCAGCACATGGAAGACAATAGCTGGATGATTAAACTGTAACTATAACCCACACCTGAGCAGCATTCTCAGCTTTTGGTTCCAGAATGTTTTCTCAGTTTCCAATATTGATGTCAAGAGAAGTCCCTCCCTAAAGGATCAATGGCAGGACTTGTTAGATGCAAAACATTAATCTTTATGTCCATCCAGAGCGAATGCTCTAGTTAACATAGAGCATCTATCCACAGCCTCATAGATCATTGGATTGTTAGTCGCTTGAGAATTCATAGTTTGTGAGTTGTTTGAGGATTGCATCGCTCAGAAATCATTGGACTATGAGTTGGCTCACAGATCAATTAGGATTGCGAGTTATTCGATGTTCATGGCTAGGGTTGAGATTTACCAGAAAGAAAGACTGAGCTGGGCAAACAGTTTAGCTGAGTATGTGCACCCTAGATGTGGTGCTTTGTGCACCAAGAGTGATGTTCACATTGTAGGATGTTCTGTGTATGGAAATTACTGCAGAACGAGAGGAAGCCAACTGGGTTTTGAGAAGATGACACAGTGGAGTTTCATTGCCTGGAACATGATTGTGGTAGGGTGAATCTCTTTTGGCAAGATGGCCGGGAAAACTCAGTGTTGTGCCTCTATGATCGCACGTTGGCAAGCTCAAGCAGGCAAAGTACAAGATGCCCATGTAAACGATGTGAAACTCCATGATGGCGGGCTTTGCTCTCTGGACAAGGATGGGAAGCTCTAGAGCTGTGGAAAATGGTCATGGTATCTGGTGCTCCAGTTGGAAAAATACCCTTCCATATGTGTACCCTCAGCAGGGAAAGAACTTTTTCCACTCACTCCTCCCCCCATCTTTTTGGGGCACTATAAACACGGTCCTCATTCCAAAAAAAAAAAAAACCTTGCCAACATATTTAGCACATTTGACTAAACCTGTTGTAGTTGTAGAACTAAAAGTTCTTTCATCCAAATGTAGTGTACGAAGAACCAGTATTACAATGCAGAAGCATCTTCCAAAATCAGAGCTGGTAATCAAAGTGTTCCAGTGGCTATGGGACAGAGGAAGAAACTACAGGGTGGTGTCGAGGGGATTTTAAGGATCAAGAATGGAAAAGATCAACACTCAACTCAGTTTCGAAGGAAGGCAATAAAACCACTCTTTCTTGGACCCTCTAGGACTCATTTAGAAGCATAGGACTTGTGGTATATCTAGAATGGGGGCTTGAGGCCCAGTTTTTGTACTATCCTAAGGAGACAATAGAGTTTTATAAATACTATAAGG